TTAACCTTATCCATCATCCGCTCATCCATGAGACCCAACTCCTGCAACCTCTTCATCTTCTGGGCAAACAAGTCATCGACGTTGTCGTCCACACGGATGTCGTCGCCCACCGAATCCGCCACCACTTCCAGCCCATCCGAGCACATCGATGGCGAGCACATCATATCATGAGTCTATTGGTTGGCATTGACTCCAAGAGTTTTGTGGTCATTGTTTGTATCACTCAATGGTTTCACTCAAAGACTGTCTGTTTATTCGCCAAAAGCACTGCAAATGTTTGCAAAACTCAACACAATTTGTAGCAATAATTACGTCAAAAGCATTGAAATGTCAGCATTGCTTCATACAAATAAGAATGGACCAGGGTACTACTCCACTTACCAGGATACTATTCCACTTACCAGGGTACTACTCCACTTTTGAGCAGTTTTTGTTTTTGATTTAGTTTTCAATTGAATTAAAATATTTATAGAAACAAACGTCCGTTTAGTTGATATTTATATTAATTTTGTTTTGTTGAGTGCTTTTCAATTGAATTCAATTCCCAGAATCAATAGATCGTGTCTAGTGCCAGATGTGTGCCTTTCCCACCCCAATAAAACCATAACCCACTGTCCACTGTCCACTGTCCACCATCCCATACCATGGCCCACAACTGCACAACACTTGGCATTACACTGACCTAATCTCTGACACATACAATATAGTACTGTATACAGTGAGCACCAAAACCCAGTTCAAATATTTCAAATAATCTACCGTAATAGGCATTTTCCAAAAATACAGTCAACTACAGTATTAATACAGTATTTTATGTGAACTTTATTTTTGAACTACAAGTTTTGAGCAAGTACATTTGAAAAACTTGAATAAATTATATTAATTTAAATATTGAGCTCTATAAATGAATCATTTATTAAATGATAAACAACTAAAATATATTTATCTGTATAAAGTAACTCGAATCTAATAAACAAAACTTAATCTTAAAAATATAAAACATGAACAATTTTCTAACACAACTCGTTATAACTAATTGTAATTGATTCTCAATGTATCAAATGATTGGAAATACTTTCCTAACAAATGTATTACCGTCAACTTTTCATATAAACCTCATTCAGGTGTGAATTAAACATAAAAATTCAATCTTAAAACAAATGTAAATTTACGATAAACTCAATGATGTGTTTGTTTGAAGTGATCACTCAATTGTCGTTTGGAAATGAATGTAATCTCACAACCAATGGATTGACATCTAAATTGTTTATCGCTATCGTGTAAAATCAAATGTCGTTTAAGCGAACCTAAAGTAATAAATTGTTTGTTTGATTAAAAAATATTTGAAAAAAGTTGATAAACAATATTGCATTGCCTTTGAATTTGAAACTCTTTCCACAGCCGTCCCAATGACAGGTGAAGTCAGCCGTTGCCCTGTGAACCACTTTATGCCGTATTCGCGACGACGCCGATCGAAACCTTTAATTTGAAAAAATCACATTTTCATAACTCACTAAACATTGTCAACCAAATCAGTTCAAACAGTAGACATACACCGCTTCACATCCCGGCCTAAACTCATGAATAAAACAAGACATTTAATGAATAGCTTTCACTCAAATATCATACGATGGGCTCATACCACTCGCATTTGTAGGGCTTCTCATTGGTGTGGATCAGACAGTGGTGTTTCAGATTTGAATTACTCCTGAATACCTGTCCACAGGACGGCCAGTCGCACGCAAATGGCTTTAATCCCTCGTGACTGGCTTTATGGACAATGAGGTGAGTGTTTCTGTTAAACGATAAGTCAATTAGAAATTATTTACTAATTTGCAGATATAATGACTACGAGCGCACCGGTAGAAACTGGACTCACATCCCGGCCAAACACATCT